AAAACCTAGCTGCCCATTCAAAACGAGCGGAACATTTTTTATTGCTGTGTGTACATAGTCTGGTAGCTATGGGTATCTGACAGTTTTAAAGAAAAAGTGCTATTTTAATGAAATGGGGAACTGTCAGCAGAGCAAAACTGGTACCCCTACTGAGCCTTTATATGTGAGCAAGAAAGGGCTCGCACAGCTGAGAAAATTTATCTTGTGCATGAATTTCCTGCAAATTATAGAATCATAGAATGGTTTGGGTTGGAAGGGACCTTATAGATCACCTAATTCCAAGCCCGTTCTCGTGGGCAGGGACACCTTCAACTAGCACAGGTTGTTCAAAACCTCATCCAACCTGGCCTTAGGCACTTCCAGGGAGGGGGCAGCCACAGCTGCTCTGGGTAACCTGTTCCAGTGCCTTACCACACTCATTGTAAAGAATTTCTTCCTTATATCCAGTTTAAATCTACCCTCTTTTAGTTTAAAAACATTACCCTTTGTCCTATCACTACACACCCTTGTAAAAAGCCCCTCTCCATCCTTCTTGTAGGCCCCTTGCAGATGCTGGAAGGCTGCTCTAAGGTCGCCCCGGAGCCTTCTCTTCTCCAGGCTGAACAGCCCCAACTCTCTCAGCCTGTCCTCACAGGAGAGGGGTTCTATCCCTTGGATCATTTTTGTGGCCCTCCTCTGGACCCGCTCCAACAGGTCCATGTCTTTCCTGTGCAGCGGGCTCTAGAGCTGGAGGCAGGACTCCAGGTGGGGTTTCACCAAAGCAGAGTAGAGGGGCAGAATCACCTCCCTCAGCCTGCTGGCCACGCTTCTTTTGGTGCAGCTCAGGATGCAGTTTGCTTTCTGGGCTGCAAGCATGCACTGCCAGGCTGGGCTGCACCCCCAAGTCCTTCTCTCAGCAGGGCTGCTCTCAATCCATTCTCCACCCAGCCTGTATTGATACTGGGGTTTGCACCGACCCATGTGCAGGACCTTGCACTCAGCCTTCTTGAACTTCATGAGGTTCACACAGGCCCACCTCTCAAGCCTGTTCAGGTCCCTCAGGATGGCATCCCTTCCCTCCAGCGTGTCAACCACACCACACAGCTTGGTGCCGCTAGCAAACTTGCTGAGGGTGCACTCGATCCTGCTGTCCATGTCACCGAAAAAATGTGAAACAGCAGCGGTCGTAGTACCGACCCCTGAGGGACACCACTCATCACTGGAGTCAACCATGTCTCGTTTTTGGCTTTCAAAATGACGTAACAGTGAGTTTTACTTACCACAAATTGTGTAAGATAAATGATGCAGATGGAGGCATAAAATATGCCATTACAGTTTTTGTTTGTGTAAATCTGTGTCAGGAATTGCTGGACATCCAATTCAAATGTAAGACTCTATCTTTGTGATTCTGAAAAACTATGCTCCTGTTCCAGTAAGAGACTAGAAATTACTCATTTGAAGTATAATTAGTGATAGGGATAAGTGTTTGGATTGAATAGAGTCTTAAGACTACACTAGTGCCACTGTTCAGAAACAAATTCTGTGAAAATTATGTAAAGGGTGACTAGCAAATGGGGGGGGTGTATGGGGTTTTTGTTTTGATAGGAGGGTGGTTTGGTTTTGCGGTTTGTTTTTGTCTTTTGTTTTTTAAATTGCTCAATGAATAGCTCCAAACGCAAATTTTGGAATAATTGTAAGGAGTAGCTTCTGAATAACCGTGGCCTTCCCGTGGTCATTGGGGAATGGAGCACCAGAGTTGCTCAACTATGGAGACTTTTACCTGATGGCACTCACTTCAAGTATGTCAGTTAACTTCAGCAGTTGGAAGTCGGAGGTTATCACTTGTATGGAAATGGAAGGTCACCATGCAGTTAACTAAAAGAGCATAGCCAGATAGCTACTGGCATGTGGCTGAGGATAAATGACTTCTGGAGGCATCTCAGAGTTGGTCTGCAGATGTGCATGTGTTCTCTGCACAAAAATTATGGTCTGCTCAAGTCAGCTTCTTAACTACCTTCTATTTTCTGTCATACTTAAATCAACCTTTCAAACCTTAAAGGTATGGGTGGGCTTGATTTCATGGCAGGTACTCGAGACAAGTACCAGAAGAGATTTGAGGTCTAGACAGTTGAAAGCTGTTGATGAAGGGGTGAAAAAAACCCCAAGCAAACACAGCACAGTTTCTTAGAAATATGTGAGTTTCTCAGTCTGTATAAAGAACATCTCTCTGCTAGGATAGCAGGGATGACTGAGGTACTTAAAACAGTCAAGCCATTTCAAAACAAATGGTGAGGAAGGTGGCTTGCCTTGTGAGGGTGTTTCTTGACCCTTTTAGTTGTCAGTCTTTAGCTTCCAAGATTAGTAGTAATTACAGCTTTAATGCTTCCTCTCCTTTCAGGTTAGTGTACTATAAATCACTGTAATTGTGTGTCCATTACTTGTACGATTATAATCTCTAGTTAGGCTTTGGATTTCGTGGAGTTACACATTCATAATATGCTATCCCTAAGTGAAATCATGTTGTTTACACGTCAAGTTGAACTCTTTTCAATTTCACAGTTAATTGGGAAAAGGTACCCACTCCAACCACTTGGTACATCTGAGACTTTTTACATTCAGGTCATAAATTCAGCTGGCTTTCAGTATGTGAACTACTCAGTTAAATACTCTTTTTCCAGGAGAAATTGTTCATTGCTATAGTTTTTAATCCAAACAGAGAAAAGCGTGTGTATTCAGATACAAAATTTGTGTGGCTTAAAGTACCCTCAACTTGTTCACAGCACCAGACAGGAATTTTGGTTTATTTGTCAGAAGGTTGTTGCTCTGTTGAGGGACACTTGCCATTTAGCACCTTCTTTTCAGTTCTCGAAGTCTTCACTATCCCAGGTGTCTTGGTGACACTGAAGTATGTAACTGGTTATGGCTTTGTTCATGTATACTACATTTTATTCTGTATGTTCTTCAGGGCTATTACCATACAGGGTTTTTTCTGCAGTTAATCTTCAGAGCAATTCAGTGTACATAACTTTAAAAAAAAATTGCTAGCTGTTTTAAGCCAAGTACGTATTCCAGGTTCATTGTAACAAAAGTACATTTGAAAGCAGCTGCTCTTAGGAGGGGAAGAACTACTTCAGCTTTTGCTGTCCTAAGGAGAAGTTTGTCAGGCACTTAAAGGAGAGGAACTTGTATTTCATCAGCTGGACTGTAGGTATCTGTTAGGCATTCAGTTTATTAGATTGTACATGCACGTGTTAGGTTGTGGGTGCTTGTATTCAGTAGTACCACTTGAAATCCTTTGTTTGACGGTAGCTTTTGCTGCTTGTTGAAGAAAATTTTAGCATTTTATGATACTCTAAGGAGAAAGAAAAGTCATCAACTAGAAGTAGTGGGAGTAAATGCAGAAATATTTACAAAGTCAATCTAGTCTGACTCTGTTTTTTAACATGTTATTAATGTCTTAGCAGTTCATATCTTAACAATAAATAAGTCATTATGCAGAAACATGAAATGTGTTATTGTGTTAATTTACGGAGGCTGTCTGTGGTGTGTTCACATTTCTTGTCTTAAGCTTAGTGCTGTAGTTTTGTGGACATTTTACTTGCATATGGATTTTTGTTGCTGTCAAAATATGGTACTGCTTTCTTCACCTCTGGCCAGTTACTTTAGTATTTGTTAAGTATTGAAAGTTAAGGTCCTGATCCTGCAAGTTTTTGCTGTGTATAATGATCTGTAATTTCACATACACTAGCCAGCTGCTCATGGGATTACTTCAGCGAAACACAAAGCACATGCAGAATTTTGCGTAATCAAGGCTAAAGTTCTGTAGAATTTAAAAGGTGTAACTTCTGTTCTGTAACTGTTGAAATGTTAGCCATAGGACATATTTTAATTTGTCAACATATGAATGTTTATAAACAGCAATCTAGTGTTAGTTCTTTCATAACAGTAACCTAAACTTCTACATCTATATTGGGAGTAGGTGATTTAGGCTTACTTCAGTTTCAAATTATAATTGGTGGGTTTGTATCGATGTGAATATTTTTTTAATTTTTTGAAGGTTCATTATTTTGGAAAATACTAATGGCAAAAGTAGTGCTGGCTTACTTGCTTATCAGTTCTGTGTATTAAGTTTGAACTGTGCAATCTAATTTCAATTTACATGCAAGTGCTAAATAATTAATTGCGGAGGGTCAGCAGCAAATGAGATATTTACTCAATTTGTTTGAAAATTCATGGTTAATTTTTTTCATATCTTATATTCATCTTGGTGATTAACTATGGCCTCTTCTAGAAGGCCAATGTTGTTTAATTTTGCAGTTCTGGCCACAGTTAACCAGCCTCCTGTAAGTTCTTAAATAGATTGTTAATGCAAGTCTAACACTTGTACATGTGGAACAAACATTCAAAACAGTGTTACAAATTGACCAAATAGTTGAAGATGCTAAGTGCGTTGCTCCAGTTTCTTTAAATGTTTCTTGCGCTAATCGAGTTTTTAAAAATCTCGAATAGCTGTTCTGTGCCTAGATGTGGTTACTGGAGCGTGTGGTGTTGTAGGAGGCGCTTGATATAAAAATGGAGTTTGTGAGGTGGCAGCTCCTGAAAAAGTGGCTCTGGCTTAGATCTAGTGCTGAAACTGAAGATCCACCTATTTACATCTAATACTAAAACCAGAATATTTCTGCAAATGTGGCATAATACTTTTTTTTTTTTTTTTTTTTACACAAACTGAGCTGTTTGGGGAATTCCTTGAGGTATTTTTTCAAGTGTGTTTTTTTTCCACGTGGTACTTCTGGCAAAGGCAAGTATGCATCACTGTTGCAACTTTGTTAAATCATCCTGTCATATAAGTGTATGGTACTGGGGTTCGTAGCCTAGATCATTATATTCCTGAAAGTTTGAAGATGCAGAAAGTTTGCTTGTAGTCTTAAACACTGCTATGTCTGTGTCTCTGGAAATAAAAATGGGGAGAAAAGTAAAGTCCACTACAATATCATTTATAACCAATTATTTTCACTTTTCAGATGTTCCTCCTGCTGATCAAGAAAAGCTTTTTATCCAGAAGTTACGACAATGTTGTGTACTTTTTGACTTTGTTTCTGATCCACTAAGTGACCTAAAGTGGAAGGAAGTAAAACGCGCAGCTTTAAGTGAAATGGTAGAATATATCACACACAATCGCAATGTGATTACAGAACCTATTTACCCTGAAGTAGTACATATGGTAAGTGATTTAACAATGGGAGCTATTTTGAATTTTTTTAATTCACAGTTGCTTCTGTAGCTGTATCAGTTCGTCTTCAGAAATCTTACTGAAATCTTCAAAAGACATCAACTGAGTTTGCACATCTGCAAAATGGCAATATAACAGTGCTCTTAAATCCCATTGCCAGTGTTGATTCTTCTTCTTTGTAAGATAAAAATTAGATGCATATATGAAGCAGGAGTAAATTATGGTTAAAGTTGGTAAAAATGAAATCTTGTATTTAAAAAAAAGGGGAGGGGGAATCTTTCCCCCCCACAAATCTTTTTTTAATAGGTGTTTATGAAAATAGGTAGGAAAGTTAAATACAGCTAGCTGTTAAAAAAAAAAAAAGTAGACTGCAAAACTGAAAATCTGAAAAAAAAAGAAAAATATTAGAATTAAGATCATCTATGCAAGCTTGACGCTTTGTCACATGTAATCCCATTCAGTACCAGTGATTAATTTTATTCTGCATTCAGAGGTGAGAATGAGAGTCAGTTTATTTAGGACACTGGATAGCAGATAAAGATGCTGCTGGAACAAGCTATGTGAACTGTTCAGACCTGCTTTGTTCCTCCCTGCTCAACATCCAAATTCTAGCCATCTAGACCTGGTTTAGATGTTGTGCTTAAGTCTACTCCAGAGGAGGAGGCCATGAAACTACAGGAGAATCTCTCAGCTCTCATTGTGGTGACTAGGCACCAGTTGCCTGGAGTTAGCAGTTGGGTTGAGTTCTGTGGCTGTTGTCTGCAATACACTGAGAACAGAAATCATTGTTTTACATTGCTGACTACTAAGCCTACAAGAAATGCTTGAGCATGTGAGACATGATGTTTTTCCCGAGACTATGGCTTGGAGTGATTTTTCAGAGGGATGAGGAAACAGTGTATCTTTACCATAAGTATGAACTTAGTCAATTTTCGAGGTCCTACAAATCGGAGACTTTGAAGCTTCTTCAGAGATTCTAGGGATTTATAGTATGAAAGATGTTGCTTATTCCGAAGATTGCTTGTGATATAAATCAGCCAAATGTTTACTGATACGGAAGTTACTTCTGTGAGAACTTCTGAGAATATGAGGATTATGTATAACACTAGATGTCAAACATACACAAAGCATTGAGGATGGTTAATGAGGAGATGTGGGATCACGGCTTTTCCCATGTCTTGGTAGCTTATTTGTCTTTCTTGCTAATTGCTTGCTTGTTTTGGAATACTGGACACTGAAAGGGGAGTTACAAAAGAGAAGAAGTTTGCTGAGACTTCATTTAGGTAAAATGGAGTTCATGATGGTTTCTTGAATATATGTGTCAGACATTAGTGTTTGCTCTGTGTAAGAAGTCTTAACTGCCCTTAATTTCATAACTTTTGCCTTATGTGGCTGCATTATCTTCGTCAACAGTTATGACCAGGATACATTCGGCTGAGGAGAATATATACATTCTTTGTTTTCAGATGCAAATGATGGTGGGAAAATCTGCACTTCAGTCAGTGTAATAAATCTTGGTGCAGAATTTTGCTGCTATCTTAATTGCCAGTGTTTCGCTGGGAGCACACGGCATCTGTTTGGCAATTCTTTCAGTGAATTTAAAATGTTTTTTATGTGCAAGCTAGAAGCTTGCACATAAAGGGTACAGGGTTTCCTTGCATGGGACTTACACAGCACTGTGATGGACATTCTCAGTGAAGGCACCTGGACTAGTATTTTGAGGTTAAATTCAGATAGCAATTTTTTAGGCTGCTTTTGTGAAACAATTTTTTTTTGTTGTTCTTCTGGTCTGAAACAACTGTATTCCTCCTGCAGTAGTATTACCGGCTTTTTTCTTTCAGACATATATGTAGATTGAGGTCTACTTTTGCTATGTTCTAGTAGTGGATTTGAGTTGATTGTGTGGATTTTAGGCAAAAATAAAACTAACATCTTTGTGTACTTTGAGACTCTTCCAAGAGACATTGATAAGTTATGTGCTGCTACTGCTACTGAATTATATTAATAAGGAATAGGGTTTTCAGCAAAATTATGAGAGTAATTCTTGGTTTGGAAAGTTTGTAGAGTTGGTAGTTGGCATAGGAATTAGGATTTGACTGTGCATTTCTCTTCATCTTTACAATTCGGAGGTTATTTGTTTGTGTATGACTATGTATAGACATACATGCGTAGATAGGTATGTGTGTCTAATTTTTGTTTGGTTTTGTTAACATGTTATGTAGTCCAAACACTTAGGACAATGAAGTTCACAAGTTGTTTAACAGTAGTAATAAAATAATGTTTCCTTTTCAGTGGCTTCAAATCTTGCTCTTTGACAAGAGAAGCATCTGCCTTTTCTGGTCCTTTTTTATTCTTTGTAATTCTTGTGCTCCTGCCATGTGCATCAACCCCACCTTCACCCTTTTTTTTTTTTTTCCTTCAAAGAAGTTCTGGACTAATTTATAGTAAGGTCTTGTCTCTAAGCTATATATTCATCTAGTGGCTTAGCTCAGTTGTTTCATCTTAAGTATAAGTCTCCTTTTCAAAACATAAGAGATAATTTAATTTCTGAAATGGATTTATTGCTGTTCTCTAATGTAGATGCAAGAGTTTCTTCCCTTTCTTTCTCAAAGAGCCAGCTGACATGTCCTTTAAATTCTTTTCACATTTCTAAGCCAAGATGTGAAGTGAAAGGATATGTTTTTATTAAACCGTTGTATAGCAAGTTCCATTTCTCAGGTACAATACAAGTAAGGTTGGATTGATTAGCCTCAGAGCAGGAACTTACCTCTTCTCAAAACTGTAAGAACTGTAGTCAAATGTCTGAATAAATCTTGTAAATGAGAAATTTAGTTTTTTTAATCAAAAGCATTTGCTATTCTTATTTAGAAAATTATATAAATTTTTTTTTTTTAGCTTGGCTTTTGAAGAAAACAAGCCTTATCAGAATATTCTGTTGTGCAATAGTTTGTCAGAAGCGTAGATGCTTAGGATGTCAGTTTTGTAGAACTTTGAGAATTGCTGGCTATGTGGAACACAGACCCAAATCAATGCTGCTTTCCACCTCAGGGGAGGATAGATGACAATACCTGGATTGTAGCTGTTTTAAGAGGGACTATGAAAGTGAACGTCAATACAAATACTCCTTTCCCCGGCTAACCAGCTAGAGGGTGTTGAGGAGAGCTGAGGGAAGGCTGGGGCAGTACTGAGTGTGGAGGTCCAGGGTTGTGTTCTGAGAAAGTGGCTCAAAAGCATGTATAAATACGTCTTATTTATTTCTTTAGCTCCCAGAATAATTCCTTAGTGGTGATGATGATGAAGTACTTGTGGATGGTAAATTAAAGTTTTTTGTGAAGCATGTAGGCTAATATTACTTTTTTAAATTGATAATATGTAGAACAGATCTAATTTTATTCAGCATTTGAAGCAATTTTCACTGCAACTTTTCAGGCATTATGAAAATTACATTACATGCTCAGTTACACCCATGGGAGGAAGATATTTTTGTTGTCGTTGTTCTGGGGGTTTTGCAGGTGTGGGTATTTGTTTTGGGTTTTTTATCTCTGATCTTTGGTCTAGAATGAGAGAAGTTACTGTGAACAGAAGTGTACTACCTGTGGCTCTATTTACCTGTAAGAATGGCTTTATTCACATGAATATAAAAGGCACAGACTTGCAGATTGTACAGCTTGTCACTCAGAGCTGTTCATGTCAGGCTTCACTCACGCTGCTCAGCAGAATGGGGGAGAGAACATGTGATGATATCTCTCATGCTTACTTGCTTGAAAATATCCTCCAGCCTTACATAAAATGGGCCACCAGAAAAACAGGGTGCGTAACTACCATTACAGCAAGCAGATCTGTGAAGCGGTGAAAATGCAGGTTGTTTGCTTTTCCTTTTTTGTTCTCCTATCCTCCTAAGTTACAGCCTTTGGAGTCAAGTATTCTCAGTCCTAACAGCACAGAGAGGATTTTGGCACAGTAGTCCAGTTTTCCTAAAGACTCAAATTTCATACATCTGGGGGAGTTGGGGGCAGGGGTGGGTGGGGGCTGGGGATGTGGTTAAGTTATGCTGTGTTTACTTAGTACTTCTGTGGGAAATTTGCCTTAGGCTTTGCAGCTTGTGTCTTGTCTGTTTGGTCAAGAGACTGAGAAGTTAGGAAAAAAGATCAGCCAGAAAGATCAGCCAGAAAGGTGAAGGTCTCACTGTTATTAGTTCATTATAAATTTTCCTAAATTTCAATGGCTTAATAAACAAGAGAGTCTCAGGTTCGTGCCTTCACTGAGATGCTGCACCTTGATTTGAGCAGTTTTGTGTTCTGTTGGTCAAGGATATAAAACACAAAATAGACCAAATCAGGCTTCACTGGTTCTAGTGCTTATGGAACAAATTACTCTGTTTTGGGGTTTTAACTCTTTCCATTTGGTATTCCCAAAAATAAAAAATACAAAACAGTGTACCTAACACCTTACGTGACCTGGCTTTTCTTCTTTATAGCGAGAGACTGAGACTTTCTTCTCTAGAAAAGGCTGATTCTTCTTCCATTTGCTTAACAACCTTAGGAAGTTCTAAATTTCAAGTCTGGTCTTCCTGGTTTTTTCTTGTAAGACCATTATTGATTTTTGTAAAGTTTCACTGTATTTTTTTTAAGCAACGGTTGGAGGTCGTTAGTTGTTTGATGTCCATGCTTTTAAAAAGGGGAACATGAAGATATTTTAGCTTTAGTTTTAATTCTCTGAAATAGTAATTACTCTGATATGCCAGCCTCTGTCTGTATCAGACCTACATGTCAGTTGCTGAAATGAAGGAATATTCTGAAGAAAAATAAAGCATCAGGATGACTTTTTCCTTCATGGGACTATGATGTAAGTCTCACAGATTTAGCTGATGCAGTTTGATACTGCCTCCCACTGTCTGCTCTGCCATCTGTCAGATGTGAGATGGCAGGACAGGACATACGTGTGCTCCTTAGCCCTGCCAGTAATAGGTAATTCACGGCACTATTTTAAACTCTGAATGGAGGTATTAATGAGAAGTCAGAATGTGAAGAAGAAACAGCATTCTGTTTCTTTTCCCACAATACCACCAAAAGAGGGGTGGAATGCATTTTTTTGCAAAGTAGTGTCTTTAAACTGAGACAGCTTAATCTTTCAGAGCTTTCAAGTAAACTTCAGATGATCAACAAGCAGGCTTTGATGCTCTTTAAAAAAAAAAATTTAAAAATAAAATTAAAAAAAAAAAATACAGCCAACCAACCAGGAAAAACCTGAGTAAAACCTGAGAAAAGAACAACGTGTTTGTGGCATATATGGTTATTATCTACGATGGAATTTGAACATAATAAAGTCTGAAATCATGGCATAAAGAATAGATTTTAAAAGTGATACTGGAATAGACCTTGCATTCTGAATAGCTGTAAGTAAACTTAAACTTGTAGGGTTTAGGTTTTTTCCATAAATTGAGCTGTATTATACAGTTGTTGAAAGTGTAGGAACCTTTCAGCTCATGAAATAAGTAAAATGTTTTTTTGCATCCTCAAAAAAGGCATTCTGTTCAGTGCAAGGTCTGATGGAATTTGTTGTGGGGTTTTTTTTGTTGTTGTTTTTGGGGGGTTTTTTTGGTTTTTTTTGTTTTGTTTTGTTCTGGCTGGTCCTGGAGATGCCCTGTACTGGCATGTTTGCTGAGCCAAGTTACTGATTTTCTTGAAAAGGATCTGTAAATGTTTCTGCTGCTCCTGGTGATGTAGCCTTTTGCAAAGAATTTTCTTTTTCCTGGCAAATCAGCTTTTCTCCCCTGTGGTCTCTTACTTTGCCACACTTAGGAGATGTATTCTCAGATTTTCCCCTCAATACTTGCAAAAAGACACCTCCAATCTGTTACAGCAATAGAATTCCAGTAACAATGTATAGGTTAACTCTTGCCAGTACTTGTGGTACATGTTTAGGACAGAGTATATTTATACCTCATGCTGAAGCTCCATGTAGGCAGCTGCAGGTGATTTGATAAATCAGTTCTGTGCAGGATGTAGCTCTCCATTCAGCACAGCCTCAACTCTTGTTGCAAGCAAATGTTTACTGAAATTTGCTTTAAAATACCTTAGTATTTTTATAAAGCACAAAGTGATCTGTGTATTTGAAAGCAGAATTTAATTTAGTGTTGTAAGGCAGAATCAACATGAAGAGAGTTTCTTTATGGAGCCTAATATACGCAATTGTTATGAAGGGTTAGGACAGTACACCACTATGTCTTTATTTTGGTGGTGGTCTTATCGTCCCTGCAGTGTGTTCAAGCTGCTGAGAGACAAAGGCATTTGTCTCAAGGGATCGCTTTAAAGTACTGGAGGCAGTTTGGGACCATATACTAATTTGAATTTATCTTTATTTTTTTTATTCTGTACAAAAAGAAGTTTAGACTGCTTGGTACTGGTTTGATGATGAGTAAGGAACAAAATATAGAACAGGAAAGTCTCTATCAGTGTACTTACGCAGCTAAATAGATTGCATTTTTATACTTGCTCAGCAATTTGGTTGTCTCCTACCAATGTCTGCCCGACCTAATATTCTGGCTTACAAACAGAACTGAGGAATTAGTGTGTTTTCAGCACTGACAGCCATAGCTGCGTTGCATATACAGTCAAAGGCTTTTTCAGCCTTTTTTTTACTGGCTCGTGCAGTAACCTTTTCCTTCCACCTTGATCAGTAAAGTTTTAATCATTAACTCCTCAGGTTGTGAGAACAACCGTTTGAATCACTAGCTAGTTGCTCCTTTCTTATCCACAAAGAAGCCAGCTGGTTTTGCTGGCTGTCATTTCGGATGGAGAATTTAGGATACTGCAGACCTTTTAAATCTTAGCACCATTCTGGGTAAGGTTACTCTTGACAATGCATGCTAAACTTGTCCCAAAAATCGTGTGAGGTTTTTTCAGCCAACATATGTGTTTTGTTTTACGTGTGTGATCATATCCATTGTATAAATTGATATAAATGTTATTATTTTTAATTATATGTTTTTATTTTAAAAATTCAAGCTCCATGGATTTAGTCATGGGGTTGTTTGGCCTGCAACAGGACCTCGTAGAAAAGTTTTCTGTCCATACCACAGGCACTGAGGGTTTTGTCTTTGTTAGGGACTTTGAAACTCTCTTCATATTAAAGCACTTTGTGGAGAGTACTACTCTGGTTCATAATAGTAGGAATGTGCATCTAGACAAGCACTTGGAAACAAAAAAAAGTATTTATCTGTGTATCAACAACTTGAAAAGCAATTCATCTTTGTAGTCTGCTCTACTTCCATGAGGGTGTTAATGGTTTTCAGGGAGTTGAGAATTTGGATGAAGTGAAAGATTAAAGGATTAGGGTGTGCGTTTCTCCCCCCTCAATGCCCCTGTGAGGTCAGGTGGATGGACATGGTTTAAGAGAAATAACCATTGGGAGGAGGAGGGAGGAGTTTGGTTTTGAAGTGTTTCCACATATGTATACTCACGCTGTGCAGTGAAACAGATAACATTTTACAGAGAAGAACAGTCGGGGGTAATCTTTGTTTTGCATCTCTGCTGCCAACTTCCAGTTTTGCAGGTTGTTGCATGGCTTTGTAAAGCATATATAAAATAGTTACACAAACATTTTTTATATATACTTTTGCTTGGGCTTTTAAAATGTGTGTGTGTGTGTAAAGAGATCAGAGCAATATCCTCATAAAACATGTCCTGACAGTAGGTTTGTGCTTGAAAGAGTACTGCATGGAAAAGTATTCTCCAAGTTAGAAATCTTTGAAGAATGAATGTACCTCATTATTGTTTAAACTGCTGGGTTATATAGCTTGTATTTTTGCAAATATCAATTAAAATAGTTCATATAAAAAAAAACCCCCTCAGTCAAAACAATTTTTAAGTCTTTTTTTAATCATTCACTTGTTTCAAAGTTCTTAGATACATGTGATTTCAGTTTGCAGTTAATATGTTTCGAACATTACCACCATCTTCCAATCCGACGGGAGCAGAATTTGATCCAGAGGAAGATGAACCAACCTTAGAAGCTGCATGGCCTCATCTACAGGTATTTAAGGAAGATGAGGAAGTCGGAGTCTAACAAAGTTTTGACATTAAAGTCATTGTTTATTGATTCAAAATTGTTTAGTTTATGTGTTTATCTCAAGTCAATTACATTTCTCTGCAATATTTAAAATACGTCTTGAATTTAAACTGATAAAAAATTTCAGTTAGTATATTAGAGGTTAAAGGCTTGTTTCTTGTGGTACAGATGTGGCTGCTGTGATTTTAAGTGAGCTTCAGTTTGTCACTTTGAATGCTTTGATCTTACTGTGGCACAGCTCTAGCTTTCAGAGGTACCGTGACAAACAGAAAAGAACAGAGAATTTTCAAAACACGTACTTCTGGGCATGATGCATGCTAGATTACTGTATGTCATTTGAGTAAAACCTACTGATGGAGCTCAGCAGAATTTTGATGCAGTTTAAAGAACTTTGTCAGCAGAGGAATAGCCAAGCTTTACTGTGTGGTATATAAATAAATATAAATACAAATAAAAGAAAGTGCAGTTCTGTACAACTAATTGGTGTAATTTTGGTAATGTGCTGCTCATAGAATGGTTCCTTGTTTGAAAGACTAATAACTATTTTTCTTTGGGTTTTTTTCAGCTTGTTTATGAATTTTTCTTAAGGTTTTTAGAATCTCCAGATTTCCAACCTAATATAGCTAAGAAATATATTGATCAGAAGTTTGTATTACAGGTGAGGTAAAAAATAATTTTTAATTTCAAGCTTTAAATTATTTTAAAATGGATTAGACTCAAGTAAAGTGTATCTCTTTTCTCTCTTTGCAGCTTTTAGAGCTCTTTGACAGTGAAGATCCTCGTGAAAGAGATTTTCTTAAAACAACTCTTCACAGAATATATGGGAAATTCTTAGGCCTAAGAGCTTACATCCGGAAACAAATTAATAATATATTTTATAGGTATGTCTTTATATTATGGTGCATGCAATCAGGTATACAACTAAAAATACTCTTAAGACACTGCTAGCAATTTTTTTAATTCTTAGTGAGTTTATACCCAATATTGCTACTTCCTGCTATAATTAACACTAGTTAGGAGATCTAAATTAAGGTAATGTTGCACACAGCATAAATTTGGCAGCTGACATTTGAGTTTGTGTGTGATTCAGTCGGTTTGATATCTTTATCTGTGAGGATTTTTTTTCATATTGGGTAGTAGTGTTTTTATTATAGTAGTGTCTTAATAACATGTAGTTCTTCATAATGCAGAAGTTGGGCTCAAATTGAATGGCTGAGAGATCTGGAATTTGCTTGCAGGAACATTTTTACTGCCTTTTCTTTCCTCAGAACTGAGATATACCATTTAGGGCTCATGAAATATTTTTTTAATTGCCATAGAATAAAGTATAGTATTATCCCTGATAGAAAAATAAGTAAATATGAAAAATTAATCCCCTGCATTACCAAAGGTCTTAAGAACTGTGTGTTTTTACTGCCATTATGTCAAGTGTAAAAGCAGGATTATGGTGCCTGCTTTTTAGTCTTTTAGTTTTGGTATGCTTCTCTTTTCTACCAATAATTATGTTGTGTATCTGTTTTGCACTCGTCCATCATGCTTCCCTTTTTCTCTGCCACTGTTGTTTCCATCCCGGAATGAATGTATGATGCTACTCCTTCAGTAAAATAGCAAAAAGCTGCTGCATACTCAGTGCCATCTCATGAGTGGCACCCAGCAGTACCAGCTGTAAACGGAGCTTATCTTCCCTGTCTATGGTAACAAGTAAGCCTTTAGAAGAGATACAGAGGGGCTGCTTTAAAATAATTAGTAAGCCGTCACTGCCTGGCGGACAGCTGCTCTTGGCTGGAGGTGTCAAGAGCCAGTATGTCCTAAGGAAAAAGTACAGGTGTATCTGTCAAAGGTGCAAACTTTTTTTCCCATGCATAGATTTTATTAAATTAATTCCAAAATGCATAATTTTGTAAAATGTCTGAAGGAGATGGTACACAGCATCACAGTGTGTTAGAATGCACTTCTGAACGGCGTTTTTATTTGCCACTTCCTGAACTTTACTTTCAGGGATAATGGAAGCAAAGTCTTCAAACACAGATAGTTCGGGTGCAAGAACTTTGAAAGTCTAAGAAATCTTCTGGTTATTAGATCAACTTTGTAATAGTTTGTATAAAAACATGTTTTTGATCTGAAATGTACATGGGAGATTATACAATTTTCACCATAGAGACTACCTTTCTCTACCAAGTTGTAGGAAGAAAAATTAAACAGAAAACTTCACTCGTTTGTGTAATATCTAGGAGCTAGAAGTTGAAATGTTTTGCATCCAAGTGTAATCTAGTGTCCCTGGATAGGAGTACCAGGGAGGAAAGTTGTTTCAACTTCTGACTTGAATTAGTGGATTGCGCATGATAAGCTTTTAAAGTATGTGTAGAATTTTTCAAAGTATTTCATTTTCTTATACTTTTCCCTGAAAGTCATCAGTTTGTTACTGTGTTTACCTAAGAAAAGCGTGGTCTTTATTTGTCTTTTAGTCACTAACCAGAATTGCATGAATTCTGTCCCAATAGTACATTAATCTTATTTTTTCTAATGTAAAAAATATTTTTATAAAAATCATTAAACCAGTATGTTTCTATTAATTTAGTCTGAAGCTTTTTGTGTCATTGTCTTTAGTTTTGCTTGGAATTGTTGTCCTGAATTATATGGGAATGGTCTTTAAGGAGAAAAACCAGTCACATCAAATATTCTAGATTAAAAGTAGCTGTTAATATACCAGTCTGTTAAAACAGAAAAATATTTTCTAATGAGTGAAATAATTTTCTCATAAGTGTAAACTATTATAACTATTTGCAAAATACCTGAGGTTGTGTATAGAGCTTTCTCAAGAAATGTACATTCAGGCAATTGGGAAGAAGGGTGGAAAGGTGATTGCCTCGTAAATTACAGTGCTCTGTCAAAAGAAAATTCAGGAAAATTTTACTTCCTCTGTTTATTACAGAGCCTTTTGTGTGCGCAGAAGTCTGTAATGCCAAAGAGCTTTTTAGATCCATAAGTAGTAACTGTTTGAACATCTTGTGCTCTCGTGCACTGTAGAAGGTTGAGTCATGGCACTTGATTATGCCAGATACTCTTGTGTTGTTTTAATATTTAAGATGTTGTTTGCTGTGTTCAGTTTTGCATTATTAAAATGGCATAGAATATGATTATTGGGAAAAACTGAAGTGCATGCTGCTTTGTTGAATGTAGAAGAGAGCCAGCAAGTGAGAACACTGTAAGCAGCTTGATGTGCTATTGATTTATGCTTCCACAGAGTTTTTTTTCCAGTATGTGTTTCTGTTTTCTTTTTACTGAGTGACTAAAATCTGGGAGATCAAGGCTACCTGTAATGTTAGATGGGGATCTTGGTGTTGGAGTTGTATCTCTCTTCAGCAGTAACTGAGTAAACCATTTCATTTATTTAGGTTTATTTATGAAACAGAACATCACAATGGCATAGCAGAATTACTGGAAATACTGGGAAGGTAAGTTGTAGGTTTTGTTTAACGAAACTCACTTGGTCTTTAGAGGAGACTTTAAAAATCAAATTGGGGATTGCAAATTGCTTGGAGACAAGATTTAAATAGCTTCATATCATGTGGCAAAGCTGTAACAAAGAGAACAAGTTTTGTGTAAGACTGCAGAAACGCAGCAAAAACATGAACCCTGTGGCAACGTTCTGGGGTGTGACAGTTTTTTAAATCATATTTTTTTAAGTCATATTTTCTAGCTTAGGATCCTTGTAATTAATGTTAGTTGTAAAACTACTACAAATAACATGTAATTAGTTGAAGCGTATTAAAAAATTCTTCTAACATCCCTAAATACATAGCAGGTAAATAAAGGAAGCATAGGTTATGAAACTTCAGAAACCTTCTTTTCTTAATCCCATTATGTAGTAAACTTCAGTAATGTATCTGAAAGCCCTTGAAACTAAAATTTTACAACCTTAAACTGCTAGCCTTGTCAAAATCATTGTGTTTTTTATCAATTTATTTCTCTAATCTGTCTGCAAGCTTTTTGGTTTTATACATTTATACACTTTAAAAGCTTAGTTAGGTTTACTTGATGGTGTTTCCTTATTTTTGCGCATAAAAATAACAGGTTAGTGAGAGCAGGTTGCTCAGGGTTGTGTCTGGTCGTGTTTTGGATATCTGCAAGGATGGAGGCTCCACAACCTCTCTGGGCAACAGGTTCCCATGTTTGACCACGCTCACAATAAAAAGGGGTTTTTGTTATCTTTGACATTTCCCATGTTTCAATTTGTGCCCTTTGCCTCTTGCCCTTATACTGGGCATCAGTGAGAAGAATCTGGCTGCCTTCTACACACATCCCTTCAGGTGTTTGTATACATGGGTAAGATCCCCCTGGGCCTTCTCTTCCCCAGGCTAAACAGCTCTCAGCCTTTCTTTGCGTGTCAGGTGCTCCAGCCCCTTCATTACCTTCATGGCATGTTGCTGGACCTAGTGCTCCAGGTGTGTCCATCTCGCCAGGGCCGAGCAGAGGTGAGGGATCATCTCCCTCAGCCTGCTGGCAGTGCCGTTCCTAATGCAGCCTGGAACACTGTTGGAATTGGAAAGATGTTTTAAAATCTTCTAGGTCTGGATGTCTGGCTAGAATAGTTATTCAATTTTCAATTACATGTTCAGTGGTTACAGGAGTTACATATCCATCACTACTTCAACATACTGTAATCGAGTAATATCAAGATATACTGAAGACTGTGTAAAGCTTAAATACTAGAATATGGAGCTAAATCTTCAAAACTGTTAATTAAGTCACAGAATCACAGAATAGTAGGGGTTGGAAGGGACCTCTGTGGGTCATCTAGTCCAACCCCCCCTGTGCCTCAGTTTGTGCCCATTGCCCCTTGTCCTGTCGCTGGGCACCACTGAAAAGAGCTTGGCCTCATCCTCCTGACACCCACCCTTCAGATATTTGTAGGCATTTATAAGGTCCCCTCGCAGCCTTCTCTTCTTCAGGCTGAACAAGCCCAGTTCCCTCAACCTCTCCTCGTAGTGGAGATGCTCCAGTCCCCTCACCATCCTTGTAGCCCTCCGCTGGACTCTCTCCAGTAGCTCTTCATCTTTCTTGAACTGGGGAGCCCAGAACTGGACACAGTACTCCCGATGAGGCCTCACCAGGGCAGTGTAGAGGGGAAGGAGAACCTCCCTCGTCCTGCTGGCCACACTCTTCTTGATGCACCCCAAGATCCCGTTGGCTTTCTTGGCAGCCAGGGCACACTGCTGGCTCATGGTTAACCTGTCGTCCACCAGGACACCCAGGTCCCTCTCCGCAGAGCTGCTCTCCAGCAGGTCCACCCCAAGCCTGTACTGGTGCGTGAGGTTGTTCCTCCCCAGGTGCAGGACCCTGCACTTGCTCTTGTTGAACCTCATCAGGTTCCTCCCTGCCCAGCTTTCCAGCCTATCCAGGTCACGCTGAATGGCAGCACAGCCTTCTGGTGTATCTACCACACCTCCCAGTTTGGTGTCGTCAGCAAACTTGCTGAGGGTACATTCTAACTCTTCATCCAGGTCGTTGATGAAGAAGTCACCAGCTTTTACATTCTTGGTTTTGTTAGATTAGCTTTAAGTGTTGCAAATTTTGAAGTGTTTTTTTTCTCAGGCTTCAAAATCAAAATTTGTTGTAGATAGTGAGGCTTATGAGCTGTAAGTGTTCTGCATTGGTCATTCCTCCAGTCCATTGAGGAGTTTCAGACAGCATGTTGTCAACATAGATGGAACTTCTTACGAGTAACAATTTTTAGTTGGGTTCTTGGGTTTTGACTTGTCAAAAGTAGAGAGGAATTGGATTTTATGCTGAAGTACTAGATTTCATTCTTTTCCTTTGCAAAGGACTATACAATACTGGACAAATGAACACTTCCAGTAGGAACTACTAATGTGGTTCTGGGTTTTTTTTGGACAGTCATCTCATGACAGGATTACCAAATTTCTTCACACTCGATCAAGGCCAAACTTGTCCTACAATACTGCTCCTTTTTGTGGTTAACAACCTTAAAACATCTTGGAGGAGAATTTTTTTACATGAAATTAATGTGTATTTGTCAAGTATGTGGAATCTGGAAAGAACACCATAGAAATGTTAATGTAGAAATGGGGTTTTGATATTGTGTTGTGAGAGGCTTCAGGAGGGATAACCTCGTGTCCTGAACTTAGTTGTGCAGTCATTACTAGTGAAAATTATTTCAAGCATGCACAACAAGGGTAAGCAAGTGTTATTTAGCAAGCTTTAATTCTGAGACATCATCTTATTTCTGAGATCTAAAACATCTGTAACTGAATTTTTTAATGTAATTTTTTTAAGATAAGTTTGGCAGGTTCCTTTTGCGTGGGTACTTGTTAGTGAAGAGAAAAGCATTAGAATTAATAAAATAGGGCTTGAAATAGTAAATGGGCAATAGGATTCTGAGTGTTTAAACTGATATTAATGCTAGTCAAGTGAGTGAACACAGTTCTGGTGCTGTGTTTTTAGGTAAAGGTGCCATTGAGCCACATCTGCACTCACCTGTAATTGGGATGTGTTGAGATGCTGTTGGTTATATGCTAGGGTCTTGCAGACATAGTAATATTTCAGCAGAAGTCATGTTTTGACTTGTCTGCTGTCCTGGATTGTTCTCTTCTACGTCCAGTCTGGAGTTCATTCTTTAGTTTTGTGAAGAAGCTGGGAGAAATATGTTTTCAAAGCTTTGATAGTGAAGAGTTCATAGTGAAAATTGGAACCTGAAGTGTACGTGTAGTCATACGTTGCTTGGAAGAAGAATTTGGGACTTATGGAAGACTTGGGTGAGGGATGGGCAGAGGTTGATCTGACTATTAATTTGTAATCTTTAGAGAACTGGACCAAAAGTTAAATAGTCTCTCATGCATGCTTCATTTGTTAATTTTTCTGTTACATCATGATCTCCAGGAGATTGCAAAAAAAAAAAAAGCACTAAAAACAAGGATTTTGATATATCCTGTACAGATTTTATATAATTACTGATTTTTATTTTAAATTTTTTTCCCTGGCAGCATAATCAATGGATTTGCCTTACCATTAAAAGAAGAGCACAAAATATTCCTATTGAAGGTTTTGTTACCATTGCACAAAGTGAAATCACTCAGTGTCTACCATCCACAGGTAAGTTCTGTTCAGTGCTTTTCATGCTAGTGTTAAAGTAAGTATGCCTAGAGAGGTTATAGTCATTCTGACATGGATTCTGTTCTAGGCTCCAACACACTTCCCTGCTAACTGGCCTTGGAGAAGTTATTTAATATATATGCCTGTAATGCTTCATGGAGCAGGGAGAAAAGATATATATGTGTGCCCACATGTATATAAATAACTAGCTTTTTTTAAAAGCACTGTAGGTTTATAGATGAAATGCATGAAGAAGTTGGCTAATGTGAGAGTTCTGGATATTTGTTCACATGCAGAATTTTTATCTTGTTTGTCTGTAATGTTTAGACCTACAGAAATTGCAGAAAGGTATGGTTTTAATGAATGTCATCTATAAACATTTTCTTTCTGAACTACAATGAGAATTTCGGCTGAATTCAGTTTGTTACAACTGTTGATGTTTTGAAAGGAATTGGACGTTTACTAGGGCGTAATTATTTAATTCAATAGATCTTAGAAGTACACAGAAAAAAAAGGGGGCATCTGATTTGTACTGTGCTTTAAATCAGCTGTATCTTTTCTGTGCTGAGTTTAGTTCCATTCAGAATTCCTAGAGGACTGGGAAATTGTACAGTGTTAACCACAGTATTATTGTGATGTGCTGAGATTTTCTCCATGAGAGGTTGTTACATGGCTTTGTTTTTTTTTAATTTGAAAGTTCAACATTTTTCTATGTAAATTCAAGTACTCCAAGTTCTAAGTGCCATTTCCTCAAATAAAATTACTAACAACTTGTATTATTAAGAACACTGTTTCTGTAATTACAATTCTCTAGCAATTAGAGATGCATATAAGCATTTGCTTTGGATGTTGCCTACTGAGGCTCCCATCGGTTCCTGTTGAAGTAGTAGGCTAGAGTGGCTCCCATTTCAAAAGATTTTTTTTTCCTAATCCTATGAACGTAACTTGTTTGGGTGTGGCCGATCAGACCTTTCTATAATCTCAACTAGTGCAGAGATCTGTGATTGACACCTGTTCTTCTACCTGCCTGAGGTGGATTGGTCTTCATCTATTCCCCTTACTGCACAAGCTAATTCTCCAGAACCTTCAGGTGATTTGCATTCCTCATTACTGTCAGTAAAAAGATAGTGGCATAGGGATGCCTCTCTTCCATGTCCTACTGAGTGAGATGGGAAGGCTTTTCAAGCGAGCTTAGTGTGTGAAACACCAGGGTAAAACCACAGCAATTCACATTGAAACAGTGGCAGATACTCAGAAGGATTTGCTGCCAAATCCGGATATTCTTGAAGAAAGCTAATTTCTATATTCAAATCAGATTTACTTCAGAATAGTGGAGAACACTAGATGTAATAATCTTTGTATGTTCCTCAAATTACCTTGGGACATTCTTGTAGCAGTCATTAAAACAGGAGAGGATTTGGTCTTAGCAGCTGAACTTCCATAAGTGAATCATAGAATCACAGAATGATTGGAAAATGGAATGACTGGAATGGAAAGACATTAGAAAAATGGTTAAGCAGTTCACGAGGTGTGCAGTGATCCTCCCATTTTCTTTGGGACCATTGGCCTGCTGAATGAAAGGGATGTAATAGTTCACTGTTTAGGCACAGACAAGCTCATTCTCAGAACTGAAATTGGTAAATACTGTAATTCAGCCTCAGCTTGCACCAGCTTTACATTGATACGCATAGCTATCATTAGTTCTCATACATAGAGAATCTGAAGATTTACAGCTGTTCAATGCATTTTTAACTAACAGGTTATGAAATAGAAAATACTTATTAAATCAGCATGGGACACCAAAATGTTGGTGAAGGTAAAGCACTTTAGAGGACAAGTTTGATTTTTAAATCCCGTGTTTGAAAAGATGAAGCGTACTGAAATGTAAAGTACTAGGTCTAAAAAGGAGTGTCAAATTGTGTGTTTGTATTATAACCCAGAAAAAGGTGAGACCAGACTTGGGAAGGTTGGGGAAAAACTGGTAAAGCATATTTACCCTTTTGTTGTTTAAATCATCTGCCAAATAATTTTTGTAAAATTACAGAAAAACTGTTGTGTTTTTATTTCAATTAAGTAGTGTGCTCCACTTAGCTAGTGATTTCAAAGTGTGTTGAGATTCATGGTAAGCATTAATAAAAATCTTTCTCTTTTATTGTAGCTGGCGTACTGTGTAGTTCAATTTTTAGAAAAGGACAGCACACTTACAGAACCAGTAAGTTTATCTTGCTATTGTTATATATTTTGGAGTATTAATATCCCTTTCATCTGTCTAAGGAGGTTTGGGGACAAAGTGTTAATATGTAATTGTTTTTATTAGGAAGAGTCAAATATTTAACAATTTTGGTCTATCTATTTTCCCAACAGTTGTTTGAAATGTCCAAAACGAATTAAAACAGCATTAAGAGCATAACTCTTACAAGCAGACCAGAGTTTATTCTATTTGTTTTGTTCTGGCTGACTGGATACAAGATGGTTGATCCAGAAGCAGTTTAGTCAGAAACTAGCTTGCCTGATCTGTGGTTGAGAGACTGGTGTTATAATGGCATGCGGAGCTACCTACTGATGCAAGCCTTTTGATCTACCCAGTGTGGACCATAGACAAAACCAGACTTTGGTCTGGCTGCACATAATCATATAGATGAATACTTTTAATTATCCTTGATAGCATATAGTGTTTTGTCTCATTACACCCAATATTAAGTTGGTAATAACTAATATTTGTAATCACTAAGTAACAATCAGTAAAACAATTGCTACTAACAAAAGTGCACATTATTAGATTATAAGCATTTCCATTGTAAAATGGAAACTGGGATTTTAAAACCAGTTAAGTGTGCAGCTGAGAAAGAACTCTTTTCTACTCAGAGCTTCTAATATTTGTTAAGATAACAAATCTCAGACATCCTGTCATTCGTGTTATATGAGATCTTGGAATCTTAGTTTTCTTCCAGACGTCAGCTAGGATGTTACATATTTCCTAGTACAAATCTAGACTAATACGCATCCAAGTCTGTTTCCCTTTTTGATCCCAAATTAGTACATGATTACAACATTCTTTAAGAATTTAGCACATGCATCACTGAAGTACTAAGTTTCCCTTCAAAAATTTTGGTCACTGCAAAATAAAATGCTTTGTTTCTCCCTTTTAATTGTCACATGAGACTTTTTGACATTTAAATAAAAAAAATCTGCATAAATTTCTCAAGGCTTCTTTGAGAACATGGTATCTGCTTTCATGGTTGAAAAATACGTACATGAAGGATGCACTGATCTCTCACTGAGTTGTCTTGTCAGTGATGCTATTAAATATTGTTTATAGTTTTTAGATATAAAAAGCTGGACTTCTATAAATGTCTTCCATTGCAGAAAACAAAAGACTGCTTTTTTCCCCTAAATGAGGGGGAAAAAATTGTTGTCTGAGACTAATGGACTGCTGTAACTTTTAGATGATATAAAAAGACAAATATAAACTTTAAGTTTTTTCAAGCAGTCTGCTGGTTTTTATTTGTGGGGGTTTTTTTTCCTCCAGGTCTGTATCTAGGACTAGACAGACATTGTCATATTTTAGTTCTTCGTGACTTTTTAATCTTTAACCACAGAACAAAAGCATTTATAAACTTAGACGTTCATGGTTGTATTAATTTCTCATCAAAAATATCTAAATTTACAATTGATTGCTATGCTGGTCATTTTGAAGTATTTATCGTGGCTTAAATATCCTTTAAAGGAAAATGTCTTCCTATTTGAATATTGTTTGAGACCAAGTTGCCACAGATGGAAAATGGTTTTTGTAGTTACCCCAAAAAAAAAAAAAATCTTACACTTTGGTTTTAAAATTGACATCTTTGTTAAAAAATGATCATTTTTTCAAACCAAAAACATACTTGCATTTTCCTTAAATCAAAAATTGCTAACAACACAAGAGTCGTTATTCCTTCAATATAACTTTGTGTGTTTTTGCAGATTCTTGAATAAATTGTGATTGATAGCTCCACTAATAAATACAATGTCTAAATATATCTAATTGCTAAACTAATATCACTTTTCAGACTTAAATTCTTCTACTTATATATTCAGTAGGTGAGAGAGTTTGTTTTTCAGTTAAGACTTCAGAAACGTTTCCCCACAGATATACAGACTCCTGAAGAGTTGCGAGCCAGCTGGCAGGCAGCTTCCTTTTGTGTCACATTTTTATGGATCCTTTAGTTGTCTCACCCCTTCGTCTCCCCACACCACCCCCTTTCTCCCATGTATCTTCTGAGTGTTCATGGTTTGCTAGGAAAAAACTGCTTCAGCAAGCTGGGTAAATAATTTAATAATCACGAAGAAAGCTGAGATTCTGATTATAGTAATACAGTCAATTAAATAAAATTGGATGTTTAAGAGCAACATGCCTGAAGTACTTGGTCACCTGTCAATCTGGGTATTTATAGTAAATCTTTTCTTATAATATAATGATAGAACTTAATTTCTTGAGCTTTGAAGTACGCCTCCAAGAAATAAGAGATTGAAAGCTGCTGTCACTGAAGTGGCAGATAATATGATCATCAAATCAAAGTGCAAACTTGCTACTGTACTGTGGGGAAAATGAAGTTAGATGTCAGGTTACTTTCTCTAACCTTTTGATTATTATTTTTGAACATGTCTCTGAAGTGTATAACTTTGTTTTCTGAAGAAGTGTTTTTAGACCTATTAACAGTTATTTTTGTGTCTCTGAACTGTATCTGATCACTTCTGTCACAAGGCAAGAAATCTGAGCTTTGTGTTCCCTTTAAAATGTTAGGTTTCCTAATGTAATATAATCTATTGCAAGGTAAAGTCAAATTATCGTCAAGATTACGTTCACTTTGTCTCTACAGGTTGTAATGGCACTGCTGAAATACTGGCCAAAGACTCACAGTCCAAAAGAAGTCATGTTTTTAAATGAACTAGAAGAAATTCTGGATGTTATTGAACCATCTGAATTTGTAAAAGTTATGGAGCCTCTTTTCAGACAGCTAGCCAAATGTGTGTCCAGTCCACACTTTCAGGTCTGTACCTACTGAATGTACAATAATACGAGGATGTTCGTAGAGCAGACTTGTTGGTGGTATTACACGTTATTCATCATAATTAATTTTTTGTTGCAAAAAAGTCTTTAATTGTGTGTCAAATTTTAGAGATCCAAATGTTAGCTTTATTGTTTCTTTTCAAGCATGTGGTATGTGCATTTGTACTGAGTGGTTCACTTCAGTGTTGCACTTAACATAAAAGCTTAAAAGCTCACTGTTTTCAGAAATACCTGAACCCTTTCAATACATAGGGCTTGCATTTTACTGCTTGTAATAGAGTTCTACAAATACTGTTTCCTTGAGAGAACATTTCTTTGCTTGAATTTCAGAGTTCATAGGTTATAGTTTGAATCATGTCTCTATCAAGGAAAAAGTAATTTTTCCATACCCCTTTCCATCAGCTCCATGAGCCCCATTTGCACTAGAAAAATTCAAATCCAAGTTGAGACTTTTCTTACCCTTACCTTATATTTGCCAAATGTTTCAATTATTTGTTCTTGAAGAGATTGTCTGAAGAAGTGTTCCTTTTTTCATGTCTTCTTAGGTTGCAGAGCGAGCATTATACTACTGGAATAATGAATATATTATGAGTTTAATTAGTGATAATGCAGCGAAGATTTTACCCATCATGTTTCCATCCTTGTACCGGAATTCAAAGACGCATTGGAACAAGTAAGAAACACTAATACAAATAAAATTCTGCTACTTCATTTATGTGTAGTTAAGGCTTAAAAGTGATTCAGATCTGTTGTCAGTTTTAACAGTGACTTGAGTTGTTTATTCTATGACATTAAAGTTGCTGGATGAGGTGGAGACTACTGCTGTCAAAATTTTTAGGTAATATTAAGAAATGAGGAAGATAGTTCCTTCTTTTTTCATTAGACAAGAAACAGTGTTTTAGTGCATCAAATCCGTGACATTTTATTAATATGAAGCAAATTAGACATTAATCTGTACTTCAGATGCTTATAAAGACTAGCTTTGTCTGATCTCTTAACCTCTTTGCTGATTTGCATTTCTTCTGCATTTTAGTGGAATATGTTGTAGATCAGGTCATCTGTTTTTTTTCCCTTTTTGTTTATTGTTTTCTCTTCTTTCTCCATTGACTATTTTCACTTTTTTTCCCTCACAATAACATAGTACTTATGCATGAAAACAGTCCTGGTCAGCTCCTTTCCGCAGCTGTTCCACTGTAAAGTGCCTCTTTGTTTGAGCTGTTGTGCAGCTGCTGGGATGGTGACAGCATCACGGTCTGGTGCTGGCCATGAGTTGAGGACTGCTGATGAGTTGGCCAAGAATGTGTAATCAATCTGCCACTAAACACAGGAAAAGAAATGGAAGATAAAGTGATGTTAAAGTGATTTGTTACTGTCACTGAATGTAAGCAGTAACAAATAATGTACTCATTAATAAAATTTTGATTCAGTGATGCAAGTGGACATGGAAAATGTGGATTGCTGTCAGTTGTTTTTCTGGCTTTCAAGACCATGCATTCATTTCATTCTGAACAGAAGTCATGTTACCCAGTACAGCTGCACTCTTGCTTGTAACTGAAGTGTGATACAAAGTAATCAGTTAACTTATTGCTCTTTGGATTTAATGATCAGCAGTAGATTACAGACTGGAACTCTAGATGTCTCTGTGAAAGTGCTTCCTAAAGCAGATCATTTTTGTTTAATTTTTCTGATGTTTTCCACTTCATTTTTCTAACACTTTTCTAGAGAGTCCTGGCATAATTGTGTTGAAGTGAGTGCTGCTGCTGTGTGGCAGTTTTCAAAATGAATGGTGTCTTTTCTAGGCTCCTTTTAATCACTGACTTTTTTTTCTGGAATTGTCAGTTGCCAGTAAGTTACTTATATCAAGATCTTTAATATCATCTTGCGTTTTCTCTAATAAGCCTAGTTTGATGAGTATCAGGTACTAAATTTCAAAACTAGTTCCATATTGACACACATAATATTAAAAATGAAGTTCAAACATGAAGTGTGACAAGTAGTACTGTAGAATAAGAAGTCTGCATTCAAAGTTGGTAATTTAGTACTTGCATTAGCCCTTTTAAGGGTAAACTGAAACGTCCACTAAATAGTTTTGTTTCCACTTACTCTGAAATTATGTAATTTTCCAGTTATGTAGGCTATTGGCTACTGTTGACCAGAAAAAATAGATTTCAAAGTTTAAAGTACTCTGAGTTTCAACCAGAAGTTTTACTTATAGGACAATACATGGCTTGATATACAATGCTCTGAAACTCTTCATGGAGATGAACCAAAAACTGTTCGATGACTGCACACAGCAATTTAAAGCAGAAAAACTGAAGTAAGTTTTCATGTCAGTGTGTCTGTCTGTTCTTGAATAATTTGTTCAGAGTGCTTTAGCTCTGATAAACCACTGTGTCTTTAGTGGGAAGTTGCCCATTTGATTACAATATAGCAGTCTCAAAATTGACTTGGTGAAACTTCTTGTTATGTATGAACTGTAAAATCTTCATAAGAATAGGATGCTTCATGTAGTGTTTGACCTAATACTGCTGGGGGTCACCATCTTCCTAAAAATTTTTTTTTGAGAGGGACACTGCTAAACATGGAGCCCAGAGTAAAAGATTTGTTAAACAGTTAAGTTTACATCCTGTGTTTATTTTAGCATCTTTTATTTACCCAGTTTTATTTTCTTTCTTTTTGTCACTCGATTCTTCCCAAAATACTTTTCCAGTATTTTTCCACATTGCGTTGTGTGTGAGCACATGTGTATGTTTTTCTGAAAATAACCTGAGATAAAGTTGTCACTCTGTTGTAATACAGGATGTTCGTACATTATTTACCAGAAGAATCCTCATGAGTTTAGTATATTCTTGCATAGGCAAGTGAACACAGGAGGGAATTGGAAGCTAAAGCTTTTGTTCTGTGCCCAAAAATGTGTCTAACTTCTATGATCATAAAGTCACTTATCTTGTGTTCCTCTATTTCCAATTTTGTTAGATAGATTTTTTTTTTTTTTTTAATATTCAGTATATTGTAAAGCCTACTAAAATGAGATCGAGAAGTCAAAAATATTAATGGCTTGGCTCTCATTTTAGGGCCTGGGGAATGTAGTTAGAAAGTGGGTACTGAAAAAACCCAGATTTTAATTTAATTTCAAAGTAGACGGGGATTCCTTCAAGTAGTGGTTCAAATTACACACCTATTTTAAACCAGTACGCTGTAAGTAATACAAATTCTTAACATACATTGATTTATCCAAGTTTTGAAGTTCCTTGTTACAATTTAAGTAAAAATGAGCTTGTAGTGTAACAGTTTTGAGATGTATATGTGTGTATGTGTATAGATAACAAAAATATGAACATTTGCTTTTTTAAGAAAGACTCTGTACGTATCTCTTCATAGCAAATAAGTAGAATCCCTTTTAAATGGGAAAGCAATCTCTTCTCTTTTTTTGTTGTTGTTTCTTTGTAGATTTTTTTTCTGTGGCATTTTGAGTGTGAGCTAAGGCAGGCAAGTGCTGAGTGACAAAATAATGAAACCACCTTCCCCCAAAAAGAAGTCCCTCACCAAACAGGAACTTAAAAGGGTGTGGTTAAAGAGTTCTTCCACCCCATCCCAAACTTACTTAATGGAGAGTTGGAGGCAAATTGCATGTACGTGTTGTGGTTAAACTCCAGCCGGCAGCTAAGCACCAGGCAGCTGCTTGCTCAGTCCCCATTGCGGTGGGATGGGGACAGAATCAGAAGGGCAGAAGTGAGAAAACGCATGGGTCGAGATAAAGACAGTTTAATAGGTAAAGCAAAAGCCGTGTGTGCAAGCAAAGCAGAACAAGGAATTTGTTCACTACTTCCCATCAGCAGGCAGCTGTTCAGCCACCCCAGGAGAGCAGGACTCCATCACACGTAACGGTTACTTGGGAAGACAAACGCTGTCACTGTGAACATCCCTCCCCTTCATTCTTCCCTGCGCTTTATATACTGAGTGCGATGTCACATAGCATGGAATATCCCTTTGGTCAGTTGGGGTCGGCTGTCCCAGCTGGGTCCCCTCCCAGCTTCTTATGCACGCTTAGCCTACTCACAGGTGGCTAGACTTTATCATTTTTTATTGCATTAGGCATAAGGAAAGAATCCTTTATTTTTATTTTTTTTTAAAGAAAGAAAAAGTATCCCTTGTCATCCCTCTTGGGTTGTGACTCCCGTGAATGACTGTGAGTTTGTCAGGTACTTCTCTGTTAGTGTTCAATTCAAAATGTTCCTGGGCCTTTGGCTTCAGCCTATTAGCTGAAGCCATTGAGCTGACAGTAAGAATCTATGTCCTTTTTTTTTTTGTTTTTTTATGGTCATACATTAGTTTCTTAAGTTTCAATATAGAATTCAAATAGTAAAAAGTTACAACACAAACATACTTCAGCATGGATCAAGACTTTTTTCCTGTTTTAATTGTAGCCCTTTTAACAGTGTGCTGTTACAAAAGATTAACTGATATCAGCCAGTTTGCTGCTTTCATGAGAGAATACAATTTTTTTTTTTTCCCCTTGTAATGTTGCTTTGAGGTCATGGCGTTTTGATAAGATGCATATTGTCCTGTCAACAGTAGGTGATATTTTGGGCAATAAGCTGAAACGGGCATAGCTAAATTGTTGAATTTTTCTAGTGGTTTTCTTCATGTTTAAGAAAGTATACAAGTTGTGACGGAAGATTCACCAAGCTTCTTTTGCCATTTTTCTTTTTAAATTTTTTTTTTTCAGAGAGAAGCTAAAATTGAAGGAACGGGAAGAAGCATGGGTTAAAATAGAAAATCTAGCCAAATCAAATCCCCAGGTATATAGAAAAGATTAACAAGTTCATGTTTAAATACTTTAGTTTTGCTAAGTATCAGTGGGGGAAACAGGTCTGACTGATCATGGAAATAAAGCAATTTCACTAATTGTATTATGAAAGATATACAATAAAAGTACTTTTAAAATTTGTAACCTTTCTCTTGTGCAAGTAATTATTCTTTTTTAAAAAGGTTTCTGAAAAGTATGTTATGAAGTACTTTTTCCTTCTCTTATAATAGGAGATATACTGTATTGCGGTTTGAAAAATTATTGTGCAAAATTATGGAAAATATAGAGATGCCATAATTGGTTTCTCTTGAAAAGCTGTTTTGCAAACAATATATTACAAAAGAGATCTTTCTGCAAACTGTGAGTTATGACTGGTCAGTTTTTCTCTGTGTCAAATGAATTAAAGTAATACTCTGTGTTCTCGTCTGCTGCATTTGTTCTCATACTTGCCTTGGGTGATCTTCTGGTGAGCCTGCACCTCAGGTTCTTTCTAAAAGGAAAACATCCTGTCAGGCATTACTTGATGGAACTGAAATTGTTATAAAGAAACAAAAGCCCCTTTAGACTATTCACTATATTTTGAAATTATGGGAGAAGGGGATGGTTTGGCTTGGGTTGTTAGTTTGTTTTGTTTTGTTTTTTCCCCCTACTTACTTTTCTTGGAGAATGCTGCCAGTTTTCCTTTACCTCAGTCATACTGATTGCTGCTATGGGGGAGAAAACCCCAAACGTTTCGATTACTTTGCAGCCAGATTTTTTTCTATACTGTAACAAGAAACTTACTGTAATGTATCTTTCCAACATTGTGTAGCTGAGTTTAAAGTGATGGAAGATAGAGTAATGATACTCTATAAACAGAAGTTGGACACTTCATGATCTCAGTGCTATTTTTAAAACAAAATATGAGGTCATCTTTTTTTCTAAGAAGGTAGAATTTCATAAATTTTTTTCCTCTTGTGGCATTTCTCAGGGAACAATTAATAAACTGCTCAAATAAAATTTATTAAAATTAAACATTGTGCCAGTTGACAACAGATCAGTTAATCAAAAAAGAACCACTCATATGAGAGCAGCAATTGACTTTCAGTGACAAAACATTCTTTTAATCAGATAATCCATACAAAAGCCTTGCGTGAAGAGTACTTGATATACATGGTCATTTGCTGTCACAAATGATGAACTATTGCGTGTCTAGCTAAATACAGGGATTGACTTGCAGTAATATTTAGAGTTCTACAGTGTAAATTTCCTTTTTTTCCCAAGTAATTTTTTGTAACTCTGTATGTTTTCTGAAACTGGTTAACACAACCTGTATACAGCATATTCTGCGTAGCATGCTTGAAGAGAGCTGCTAATTGCAAGCAATTTAAAATAAAAATTACTACTTTGAATGCTGAGTGCTCCACTGAATTGACATAAGGATATAGAAATGCTTTTAGCACTCTATATAATGGAATTTCGATTAACTACTTTTTAATTTGTCTAATTAATTACAGTTCGTATTGTTCAGAGCTATTCCTGACTCTGCATGACACAAGAATACATTATAAGATTTTAAATTGTTATAATTATATCCATTAAAACCTTTCTGTCAGTTTTTTGTATTTTCTCATCTGCATTTATTGGTACACTCAGATACTATAAACTATTTATGAGGACAAATGGGTGAAAAAGCATGTGTGTGTAAATGAGTTTGGATTTCAAGACCACATATGCCTCATCTGATTTAAAATCGAATTTAAAATACTGAGATTGCTGTACAGTAAGCTTTAGATACTATAGAGGTGTTTTTACAATATTTTTTTTTTTTAATTACTGAAAATATTTATGGCTGTTTTACTTTCTCAAGTCAGAAAAGTTTAATATTTTATCTTGAAATTACTTTAAATGTGTATTAACCATATTTGGCCTTTTAATAGTGTATTTTCGCTTCCAACACAAAATTGCACCAGAAAGTAAAATCATTGTGTTTGGGTTGCTACGCTGTTTGCAAATCACTAGACAATGTATTAATAAAGTTTCAGATAAATGATTGCCATAGTAGATTTTCAGCACTGGCAAAATCTGAATATTTTAAAATTCAATCTCAGCTAATCAAGGCATATTTTTTGTATTCTGACTGTATTTTTCAACAGGACGTTTCTGTCAAGTGAAAGTATTGGCGTTTCATTTTATAATGTATTACTTGGTGCCTGGAAGCATGAGATATTGAACCTAATCTCAAAAAACTAATCATATTATTCAAATGCTCAAATACACTCTTAGTATTTAGGTATTACTACGAAGAATGATTATTTTAACACTTTGCGTTTTATTAGTACCCAACATATAGTGACACGAGTTTGCTGAACAGTCCTGTTGCAATGGAAACAGATGGGCCTTTAATTGAAGATTTGCAGATGCTGAAAAAGACAGTGAAAGAAGAGGCTTGTCAGGTAAAGCCATGTGAAGATAACAAAGTACTCTAAATTGTGAATTACTTTTTTTTTTAAGTGACTTAACTGAAGTTTATGCCTATGATTATGTTTTCAGCCCTGTAACTGTTTATCATAGAATAATAAATTTCATTAGGGCTGCTACTTTTAAGTGATACTGTAGCAGACAGGAATACAGTGTTATGTTTCTAATGCCCGTGAATCTGCTATATGGTCTCTTTTGACATTTATTCCACGGAAACTTCCATTTTCTTTTCACTTAGAAAGACCTTTTTGTGTCATGATGGGAACAATGATTATGCTTTAAGGATAGTTAAAAGTATGGCTAAAACCTACCATATCATGTTCTATTCTTTTCTCTAGAAGTATTGGTTTTTTCAAGAGGAAAACTTGTATAAAATATAGTTAGATTCTAGTGATGACATTTTTGTTTGTTATTCAGAGCCTTCTTAGTGGCTAAAGCTACTATGTTTTGATAAAACGTGTGAAGTGTGCATTTGACTTGCCTGCTCGTGGGTCGTCTTCCTCAGTCCACCATCTGTCATGTTCCATTACCTACCATAGGGCAAGGGCACTCAAGGTCATTCCAGTCTTGTCTTTAGCTAATGCTTAGTGATCTTCAGGTGTTTTTAATTTAACTCAGTTCAGTGGAACTAGAATCCTGACATTCAAACTAGAGATTTAAACTTGGAAATGATGGAAAATCAAGAGGTGCCAGGGAGCATTGCAGTATCACTGAGACGTCTGGTAGGAATATTAATAAGATGAATATCTCTTAAATCCAGCAAAGTTTAAGACCACAGAAATGATCTTGAGCTGAAGAATTAGTTGTGATCGGAGATAAAGTCTGTCAATTTGAACCAATGTATCAAACAAGAAATTTAATAACAACAAGCATATGGTCAGCCTAACCTCCTATATTACTTTTTTAAAATTCCAGTGTCATCCTGCAAGATTGTATTTTATTTACTGTTTGTACTATGGCATTTTAGATGAAGGTTGAAATCAAAAGAAATGCTGGAACACCTCCAAGACATGCACATTGACTGCTGTTTTTTAAACACTTATTTCTGGAGTGGAACCTTATGTACTGTGTGTAAAACTCGGTGGCTGAAGTATGTGTCTATCCAGGGCAATGAACAGGGGCAGCGTTCCCCTGAATGGGAGTGTTGGTTAGAGCTAGTCAGGGAGGAGCACTGGGCTTATTACAGTTTCTGAACCTCTGTTTTTCTTCAGACCTTGGATAGCTTAGCTAGGCCAACGTGATGGGGAGAGGGCCCTCCTTTCACTAGCTCCAGTGCCTAGAATGAGTACTATTGGAGAAAGGTACATCAGCAAGGCTTTCGACACTGTCTCCCATAACATCCTCCTAGGGAAGCTCAGGAAGTGTGGGCAGGATGAGTGGTCGGTGAGGTGGATTGGGAACTGGCTGAATGGCAGAACTCAGAGGGTTGTCATCAGCAGCACTGAGTCTAGTTGGAGGCCTGTAACTAGTGGTGTCCCCCAGGGGTCAGTACTGGGCCCAGTCTTGTTTAACTTCTTCATCAATCACCTGGATGAAGAGTTAGAATGTACCATCAGCAAGTTTACTGATGACACCAAACTGGGAGGAGTGGTAGATACACCAGAAGGCTGTGTTGCCATTCAGCGTGACCTGGACAGGCTGGAGAGCTGGGTGCAGAGGAACCTGATGAGGTTCAACAAGGGCAAGTGCAAGGTCCTGCACCTGGGGAGGAACAACCCCAGGCAGCAGTACAGGCTTGGGGTAGACCTGCTGAAGAGTAGCTCTGTGGAGAGGGACCTGGGTGTCCTGGTGGACGACAGGTTAACCATGATCCAGCAGTGTGCCCTGGCTGCCGAGAACGCTAACAAAGAGGGCTATGAGGATGGTGAGGGGACTGGAGCATCTCTCCTACGAGGAGAGGCTGAGGGAGCTGGGCTTGTTCAGTCTGAAGAAGAGAAGGGGACCTAATAAATGCTTACAAATATCTGAAGGGTGGGTGTCAAGAGGATGGGGCCAGACTCTTTTCAGTGGTGTCCAGCGACAGGACAAGGGGCAGTGGGCACAAACTGAAGCATAGGAAGTTCCATCTGAACATGAGGAAGAATTTCTTCCCTCTGAGGGAGACGGAGCACTGGAACAGGCTGCCCAGGGAGGTTGTGGAGTCTCTTTCTCCGGAGGTATTCAAGACCCAGCTGGACAAGGTCCTGTGCGGCCTGCTGTAGGTGACCCTGCTTCGGCGGGGGGGATTGAACTAGATAACCCACAGAGGTCCTTTCCAACCCCGACCATTCTGTGATTCTGTGATCTAAATAAGTGTACTGGAAAAAAAAAATAGTGCTGCTTAATCTTAGAGTTGTGTTGATGGTAGTGTCCATCTTTTACTATGCTATTTCCTAGCGCGTAATTATTTGCTCAAGATTTATGAGACCTGGTTCACTTTCCATCCTGGCCAGAGAGAATTAAAACTCATACCTCCTACCTCCGAGTGCTCTAACTTTAGTTCTAGAAGAAAAGCAGCCGAAGTATGACTCTATACTAGTAGTTGGGACAAGCAGTTAACAACAAAGTTCCCAGTCCCAGCTGCTACAGGTGTTTGGGGATTTGGGCCAGTATTATGCAATATCAAATGCACAAATATTAATGGTAGCCCAAACTAAACCCAAGGACTCTACCTAGGCCTTACCTTATTTTCTGCTGTTCTGGTTTTAAACAAAGCATCTACAAAGAATCCAACTTCAAGAGCTGTAACATTGAGGCCATGTGCAGCGTCATTGATAGCATTCCAGCTGGAGAACGAGTGCATTGTGTTCCTATGGATGAGCTTGATTTCCACCCCCCACCCCAGTTGTTAGAAGGGGTGGGGATTAAAAAAAGTGGTGCTAATAGAAAATAAATAAATTGTAAACTAAATAAAATTCTGAAACTTGGGTTGGAACTGTTCAAGCATTCATAGCCATCTCTCCAAGTGCATGCTTTCCTGCTTTTCCTTGCTCAGAAAGTGTGCAAGAAGTAAATGAGATGATAAGAAAATTATAAGCCTGGTTTTCAAAGATAAAGATCCTGTCCTAGCAGAGCTAATAGAACAGTTTGAAGCAGGAATTCTTCTTATTAGGAAGACTTAAGCAAATCTGTGACAAGTATAAAGCTTGCAAGAGGATTGATAAGCCAGGGTCACCAGACAGGAAAAGGAATGATTAAAGATTAGGTAATTGCAGAAATTAAGCTAGGTAGCATTCTTGCATCAGTCAGTGAGAGGACACTGGAAAGAGAATTATGTATGCCTTCCTTCCTAAGTACCATCGGAAATTGATGCTAAAACAAGAGATATTACAATTACCAGTTAAAAAAACCCAAAAGGCTAAAAAAAAGGCAAATCAAAAGGGCAGCCTAGTTTACTTTTTAAATAAAACTTCGGAATTGAGAAACTATGTAAAGATCTATACAGCAATACTGTCTGGTTTTGAGAGAGTATCACAGCAGAACCTTAAATTTTCAGATACGTGAATAGTGCAAGTAATTACAAGCATGGAAAAACTTAAAATAATTTATCTTACATATAAAGATTTACAAAACATATAAAGATTTACAAAAAATAAACTTATCTGTCTTATTTTTATAGATGTTATCAAGTGATAATTGCAGTAGTAATGTCATGATTGCAAATAGCCTAGAATTTGTTCGTTGTTACTAAATTTCCCTCAGCAAAAAAATCGTTTTAAGGCTTGAAACTGGGTAGCTAGTGGAGTAAGGAGGAAAAAGTATAAACTTTTTCCCCATATGCTTTTTTATTTTATTTTCCCGTAAGTCAGCATACTGATGTGCAAGAAATATTTTAAGTAATTGTTTAGTAATAAATATTTTTGGCCAACTTCACTCTTGTTTTTATTTCAGGCACAGAAAGATCAGAAAAAAGATCGTCCTCTTGTGCGACGCAAGTCAGAACTGCCTCAGGATATCTATACCATGAAAGCCTTGGAATCACATTGCAGAGCTGATGAATTAATATCACATGATGGGCATTAAACTATTACAGTGAAATATTATTTTGGAGGAAAAGTGTTTTTTTCTGGACTCGGTTCTACAGTAGAACTTACTTTTTTGTGCCATACCAATCAGTTACACACAAAGTCAAAGCTTTCTTCAACCCAGTTCTGTAGGCAATAACTTAGAGTATGCAGCTCAAGATTAGTAGTTCAAACAATGGTAAATTACCCAATTCCATATGCAGAATATTGGGTTGACTATAATCAAGTGGACACAATTCCCTGGAGGTGTTATCATAGTACCAGTTAGCCGATAACGTGGTTTTTATAGTCGTATTTGAGAAATGCATTATATGAACTCTGTCTAAATAAATGAGTGACCAATAGTTGGTACTAATGATAAATGTGTGTTTTCAAAAGTAAACTTATTTCAGAATGAAGTATTGAACTTTTTTCTAATATTTCTCAATTTTACAGTGGTTTCCACATTATTGCTGTCTTGTAATATACCAGCAGTTTTGAAAATACACAGTTATTCTTTCGTATTGTAAAACATGGCTTACAAACTGGTAACTTTCATGACAATCCTCATTCATCATTCCTTTCTAAGAATTCTGTAAATTTATTTCTCCTTTATGTAGGATAAAGATGTATATCTATATATACCATGTCCTAATACTTTATGTATATTTAAAGCCATATTTTCCGGTCTTTAGTGTGTAATACAGCACCAGTATTCCAGACATGAACTGGTAGAAGCATTTTTCCTAAAATGAAAATATGTTTACTGTAACTGGGAATAGACTGAATATAAAATTTTATTTTAAGTTTTTTCAAGTCAATGGAATACTCTTTCACTGTTTTCTCCCTTATCTGAGCTTTTAATACTCAGCATTTTTCTTGGGCTCTAGGAGTTCAGTATTCTCTGGCAGATATTATGCGCGATTTCAGTTGCATCAGTTCTTATCTGAAAGATGAGCATAACCGTTCAGGAAATAGAACATCGAAAATTACTAAAATAAGAAAAAGAACAGACCCTTGAATTCCATTCTGCTTCTTTTTAAACGAGTCTAAGAGCTGAGGAGATAGTGACCATAATTTTACCATGAAAATATTTTTGTTGTTGTTGTAAAGAGCACATGTGCTGCAAATACACCTCACAAGTGAACTGAAAATGCATCTGAGTTGCTGATGATCTTCAAATGCTGCTATATATTCCACAAGATTACTTGCATGTAATGAGCTTTTTGTTGTAGATGGAGAAGCACGAGAGGAAAATCTCTTTAAAAATATAGTGCTTTGTCTTCAATATTTGATTTCTCTCAGGGTGGCCAGTATTTTGACTTACTTATCCTGCTTACAAGCTGTTTGAAATGTGTTCCGCTAATCTGAATGGGTGATTAGTTTCTTTTGTCTCTGGCAGTAACATGATATAACTTAATGTTTAATGTCTTGATGCATAAAGAGATAAAAACGTGGCTTCTTTAAAAATAGTTTTGTTTTACTTCTTAAGAAAGTATAATGTCTCCTGCATCCATTAAAAAAAAATAATTGTGCAAAGCAGACATTCATAGTAACCTTGTGCAGATGTAGTGCCTGCTGTTGGTTCTGTTTAACATTCAGTTTCCAATATTTGTTACGTTGTCTATTGGAAGAAAATTGTGGGTGGTAAATATTGGCTCACAATTAAATTTAAAGACCAACCCAAACTTTAAGTGGAATGTCCACTGTGTCTGAAAACATTTCCTGTAAAACTTGAAAAAGAATATGCTTTACCATTAGGATAAACTATATTAAAACAATTTAAAGATGCCTTCTCCTTTTGAGGGAAAAAGGGTGCTTTTTTAATTGTGTAAAGCGATGTCTATGTATTTTGATATACCATTGTTTGAACTTCCATCTTTAGCTGGTAGATTATCAGTTACCTTTGATTTTGGGTGTTCAGTATGTTTGTGCAAGAGGTTGGTGAAAGGAATTATTCTTATGTTACCCAAAGGGGGGGGGGGAACCTGTATATCAATGTTTGATTGATTGTGTGATGCTCAACGTATAAGAACATCTTTCACTGTCTAGATTTTATTTCTGTTCTTTACTGAAGATAAACACTCACCAAAAAGGGGAAGTATTATGGGATTTTTAAAGGCTTAAAGTTCACCGTAAATTCATATTTGAAGTCTTGGGCCACTGAATATTTGCTTAGGCAATATTCCAAAATCTATCACCACTGATGGTTTAGCGTGTTTACAGTCAATATTTACATACTTCTTAATAATACTCTACTAAACCATTCTAAAACTAATACATCCAAAATAAAAAGAAAAATTAAGGTAGAATTTTGGTGACTGTTGTTCTTCATAAAGTTCTGTCTGACACTTTCCCTTGTTTTCCAAAATTACACCTGTACATCAGGAATGTCAAAAGTAATATTACAAGTGTCTTTTTAGTGTGGCTTTAGTATGGCTTCATTTTAATATTGTACATACATTGTACCTTGTTTTATGGTAATAAGTAATAAAAATGTAGACTTCATATTTTGTACAGAATCGTCCTATGTACAGAATAAAAAGTTCCTAGAAACAGCAAAAATAGGTAAGTGGCACAATTATTTTTCATTAGACAATATCTGTAACGTTATGCGTTAGTGGAATGTTAAGTTCATATGTACCTACATATTTTTTAACATTTTGTAATTCAGTTTTTTGTTCTGGCATTTTTTTTGAAGAACTTCATACACCTGCCATTTAATATGCTTTTATCTAATTTTAAAACTTAAAAAAAAAAAAGGTGTATTATATGGACAAATAAAGAACGTGTGAATTTTACTTGCTCATCATGGAACTAAATTTAGCACAGAGCGTTTGGGGGTGTGTTCAGGTTATTGTTTGCAGAATCAGCTGTACAAATTAATGTGTATCACAAAAGCAAAAAAAAAAATTTATGGAAAGGCCATTAGCAAAAAAAATGAGAATAATCAATATTCAGTAGGAAAAGCAGGCTTAACTTTTAGAACAACTATCAGTACTGAAAGGAATTTTATAATCTCCAATCTACAAATATGCAAGACACCTTTCATTCCATACTGTTTTCCCCTGTAACAGTTCTATATTGACAAGCTTCAAGCAAATTAGCCCTAAAATCAAGGATTATAGTGTGGTGTGTGATACATGGTCAGGTGGCAAGGATGTAGGAAAAAACTTAAGTCTGCAGTAGGAATTGTCTTCCCTCTGGAATCTATTAAAGTCTTCAAAAGAACTAAGGAAATTACTCATGTAAAGCTGACTTTCAGTAAGTGGTGGGTTTGTGGGGAGGAGCTGGGGAGGTGGGTGTGTGCTTATAAGCCTGAGGTCAATATCTGACTGTTGACTTGAGTTATAAATGTAAGATTTGAGTTATAAATCAAGCCTTTGCGTACTGAAAGAAAGTTTTCTGCGTGAGCTCAGGAGTAGGCTCATCACATGCACTCCCAAGCTTGATCATGAATCAAAAGCTAGATATTGAAACAACTGATATTCAGTCATTCAGTTTACAAAATTAGGGTCAAATATCTCTCAAAATACCATGTTTTAAAATACTGGCAGTAGTGACATTATTTCCATATAAATACCTTATGGAGTTGCAAGCATGTTCAGGAAGTGAACTTTAATCCTTGCTCTCTAAGGGAATTCAGCTCAGGGGTTTTGACCAACAAGCTTTTTTGGCATTGCTTGCTTGGTTTGGCTTTTTAGAAGTGAAAAGGAAGGTACTAGGGTAGCACAAGTATGCTTGTGTTCTTCGGAGGTTTGGTTTATGGAAACTATTTTAGTACCTGACAAATGAACTTACAGGAGATAGCTATGACTCCAGGTTATCCTGAGTATTGTTCTGGATCCCATTACAGACCACCCACCTAGAAGTGGAGCATTTCTGCTCCTTGGATCTTGTCCTTACTCTGCATAATGATTATGGAGACTCTGACTGCATATAGCTAATTAAGAAATGCCATTCTAATTACCATATTGCTGTCTCCCTGGAATTATAGGTTCTTTTATATGACGAGACTTGGCTTGAGCTGCCTTTACCTTATGAAACAGAACTTTTATGTAGTTAAAAAAATTGGTAGGGAAGAATTCCCAAGGGAGAATTTACTGTGGAGCTAAAGAAGATGATACATTATTCCTTCCTCACATAATTGAAGAGCAGCGTGGCTGCAACTGGCTTTCGCTGAACGCAGTTATAGTGGGACTGCATTCACTCCAGCACAGACAGAGGACTGTACACACAAAACATGAAGGTTCATAAGCATTTACACTATCGTGCTGAGGGGAGAGGGTTTCCACTGTTTCGCTACAAGGGGGAGAAGGATGTTCACATAATTGCCTCAGGCGATATTGGGCATTTTTGTGATCCAGAAGACCACACTTCAGAGGGTTTGCGCTAGCATCAAGGCCTTGCCATAATTTTCTAGTACTCCGGCTGTAGAAGTAAAGATGCAAGAGGGTTAGAGATGGGAAAGCAAGTGTTTTGCTCTGGTGGTTACTTGTTTTTTTGCTTTGTTTTTGGTCTCAATTACTACTAAATTTAGGGAAAAGACTTTGTAAATTAATGGATTTTTTATAACTTAAGCAAAAGGTTTCCTTTCTACATATGTTGTATGGCATTTGCCAGGAGCAAATCTTGTCTGTCTTGACAAGTCCTAGTTCTCATTCTGATTCTCTGAAATACTTACTTTTAATTAAATTGTAGGGAAGATGTGTCATATTGGCAGTTTTGCCTTTCAGATGGCTGATTTTGGTGGCTCCTTGCATACCTGTGAGAAGGCCTAGGTCCTTTGTGTGTCAAAGAAAAGCACATTCATAATTAAGTAGAGGTAGATCAAGGCAAACTATTTTCACCCTGATTGAGCAAGCTAAAGCCTTTTTGCTCCATAGGCTTTAACTGAACATGAGAACTTGTGCATTTAGCTAGTTTATCTTGTCCTTGCTTTGATTTCCTTTGACTTAATTTGCAACATTTTCCTCTGGCTCCATTTGCTGCAGTAGATAAGGATGAAGGAATACAAAGTATCTTACATACGCTGGCTTTTACTTGCAAGTAGCCTAGCATTTTAATATCAGAATCCTAGACTTGTTTTTATACACAGAATCACACAGAATGGTCGGGGTTGGAAGGGACCTCTGTGGGTCATCTGGTCCAACCCCCCTGCCAAAACAGGGTCACCTACAGCAGGCTGCACAGGACCTTGTCCAGCCGGGTCTTGAATACCTCCAGAGAAGGAGACTCCACAACCTCCATGGGCAGCCTGTGCCAGTGCTCCGTCACCCTCAGAGGGAAGAAGTTCTTCCTCATGTTCAGACAGAACTTCCTCTGCTTCAGTTTGTGCCCATTGCCCCTTGTCCTGTCGCTGGGCACCATTGAAAAGAGTCTGGCCCCCACCTCTTGACACCCACCCTTAAGGCATTTATAAGGTCCCCTCTCAGCCTTCTGCAGGCTAAACAAGCCCAGCTCCCTCAGCCTTTCCTCATAAACCATGAAGTCTTGGTGCATGTGGTGGTTTCTGGTTGGGTGAGACTTGGGGTTTTTTGACCCTACTTTCTCTGAATTCAGCAGCAACGTATTAAATAATTACTTGAATTCTTATTTTCTTTTCCCTACTGCTTTCTCTTCCCTACTTCTTTAGTCTACTTTCCTTGTTTGTATTTTTTCATGGCAGCAATTTTACAGTAATGAAATACTGTATCTTGCTTTGTAAGCTACAAAAATTTTGTGACATTTTGGTGCAGCAGATGACAGCTGTTTTAGGAGAATGAGCATGCTAGCACTTGGAACCATAGCTTGAGCTAACCTCCTAAGAGATGCCAAGTTACACTCAAGACGTATCTAGGTTGCTTAAGAGTCTTCCCAACACTCTTCTAATGAACATCCTCAAGGCCAGGATGTTTATTTAACCTGTGGGGTATTTTTGGAAGCTTGGTCTGTACTGACACTTAGTGGAGGGGTGTAAGAAGTAGTAGTTCTCCCCCCATTGAAAAGCAGTCAGGCAGGACCAGATATGGGGTAGCCTCAGTGGAATTCAAACAGCCCAGCAAAGATGGTTCTTTTTTTCATATGAAATGTGATCCGAAAAGACAACCTACATGTTGAAGAATGATAGGGTGTGAGCAAACTAGACTTCGGAAAGTGAAAATAGGTGAGCATTGTATTAAGCACTACCTCAGTAAGCATATTCTGTAAATAGAATATTCAGGTGAGTACCACTATTTTTCTTCATCAAAAGCAGAATTTATGTTTCTAGTAAGATGATGGGGGCAATATTAGATGGTTTTGATCGGTTTTCAGTGAATCACCTCTATTGGTTCTGGTGCTTGTGGTTGAAACTTGGTTGCTGAATAGATCATTTTCCTTCCAGACAAAAAAGTTTGAGATCTCTTGTTAGTTAAGAAATCAGTGTCTTTTCAAAGTTAGACTGGATTCCTAAAACCCTTAGGAGCCTGCTTGCGCATAGGCATGCTTTTTCCCCAGGAGGAACGGAGGAGCTGTGGTATGTGTCTGGGCTTTCTGGATTCCTAGTATCCTAGCTGGACACAGACACTTTACTGCTGAGTGGTCCTTGCATAGTGCCTTACAGATTGGGACTTACCCCAGCTCTCCTCTTTCTTGTGCAGTACATCTGAGCAGGTCCTGGGCCTGTGGGTCTCGGCGTTTGCCTGGGTGTCCACCTGAGGCTTTCCTAAGGCACGTGGGGTTCAGAGGCAGTTTTGTATGGTTGGTTTGCTTATTTTTTGGGGCTACATCCCCTTCTCCATCTCTGTATGAACAAAAACTGGGCGTTTTCAGTTTGTGGACCTCCCAAGGGCCCCAGTGTACTGTTTGGGAGTCACTGGAGCTGCTCTGAAAGGTCACTGTCGCCTCCCTCTCCCAGGCAGCTTCACACATGGGGGAGGGAGGGGATGAGGAGGAACAGGGTTGTCCATCCCGGTGACAGTGAGCTGAACTCATCTAGAACCTTAGCTTGGTCAAACATGCACACTGGGGTGGAGCAGGCACCTGTGGGGTAGCTGTAGAAGAGCTTTAAAGGTTTTTAAAAATGAAACGAGATCCTGAAGGGAAAGTTTCCTTCCGTGTTTTTTCAGTCTTGTGCTTCTGGGAAAGCCTCACGAAAGGCTGAGACTAATGGTTTGGGTGCTGGATTCCTGAAGCTGTACTGAGCTGGGTTAATAAAGCACCCGCGGCACCAGGGTCGGGGGCTGCTCGTCCCTGAAGGGAAGCCGTGTCTCGCCTGCCCAAGGGGGGTGACAGGCTCCTCTGCAGCTTTCGTCAGGGAATACCGCCATTCGCATCACCCGTTCTTACGGCTCCTGGGTGTATTTTTAACATGAAATAAACATTTTTTTTCTTCTTAGGGCAGCTAAGCCCCGGGGCTGCTTTGCCTTCCAGC